TGGCTGAATTTTACGGAGACTTGCCACGGTCTCCAACCCTCCTCCTTTCTCATCCGAGCTTGGGACCGGCAACGGCGGAGTTTATTATTATTCACTATTATTTCATGAGTTTCACTAGTATTATTATTCACTATTATTTAATGAGTTGCATAACTTTCAGAGATCAAGCAGGTCATATTATCGAGACAATAATCAGTGAGGCATCAGCAGTTGTTGGAGAAGTTGCAGGCAAGATTCCTGGCCCCACAAAAGAAAGGAAACACGTCGAATCAGTTACAACGAAGGGTGATGCTTCAGCGACGATTACGAAATTTCCATTTTCTTTCGAAAACAATGCTGGTTCTACGTTTTTGTCATCTTGAAAGATTGTTCTTATGCACTTTTGATACTACCTTAATATGGAGACATTGTGCACAAAATTTGTATTTGTTATAAATTTTGATTCTGTTTAAAACATCTTGAAAGTTTGTTTTGAATCTCTGCCAATGTTGATGTTTCTGTTGAATTAGTAAAGTAAACTTTTAGAGAACAGTTTTTTATGCATGAAGAACTTTTTGTTTGCTCTAAAACAAGATTTCTTGAAATTGCTTAAATTTCGATTGTTTGAAGTGATATGTTTCAAAGAAATTTAGATTTATTGAACATAATCCAGGGCACTCACTTGGTTAGTGATCGTTTGCGATTCCCACGAAACGCGGAGTGAAGCGTATGGAGCGAAGCTGCGATTTTGAAGCTGACTGAATTTTTTTTGTTCCTTGTAAACCTAGTCGATTATCAGTTCCATAACAACGCCTCCATTGCATCCTCCTTTTCAACAATTTCTTTATTTGAGAAGATGGATGAAGGGAATTCGCCTTTGACCGCAGAATTTAACGCTTGTTGCTCTTCGATCGCTCTGGACGTGAACCCTGATCAGTCGCTGACGAAGAAGTCGAAGTGCTTTGGTGGTCGAAGGCGGAATCGGCTGGTGAGTGGGGGATTGCGCCTACGAATCAGCCGTGACAAAGCGGCGGATTGCGAATGTGTGATCGGCAAATTCAGCATTTCATTTACTGGTGACGGATCTTCGTTTTCGGCATTCGAAGCTTTGCCCTATGTTTTGTTGGATTTTGTTTCGGGTGAGACGATTTTACGAGTTACTGAAGAGGAAATGGCAAAAGACGAAAGCCCCTGCCATTTGCAATGTAGGTGCGACTTGCCTGTTTCCGTCATGGAATCGCTGGTCAAAAGCTCTCGCTGTTTGTACGTCTCGTATAAGCGCAATCCTCGCGATACCTCAGCTCAGTCATTGCCTGGATTTGACCTGTTTTGTATGATATGGTTACGTAGTTGTGCATTCATGTCTCGAGAACAGTACTTGGTGGCCAGTCATAACGGCTTGATCAAACGCGTTATTGACGTGTTTTTGTACTCGAACCCGTCCGTGCCTTACGTTCGGCGTTTAGCCAGCGACAATCCGCATTCGATGGCCGATTTCTACCATAGCTTAAAGGTGAGTTTTAGATCATTTTGTGTTCCGATGTCGACGTGGTTGTTTTTCTTCAATGCATTGCTTTTTTATGACGATTTTTTGGCAGAGCGAGTTGCGATTGTTTTTTGATCCTTGTAGCTGGTGTTCATTCAGATAGACAACCGAAGCAACAGTTTAAATTAGTTCATTCCGTTTTGCTCTGCATTGATAATAGTGGCATTTGCACTGCATCATCCACGTAGTCGTCTGGTGTCGAGACCGGACTGCTTCACAGCGGAAGAGGTTCTGGGTTCGAACCTGCCGTTCGGTCGGGATCACTCGCCTTTCTTCCTTTCCAGGTTGATAAATATGTATCACCCTGTGGGAAGGAAACAGGAAACTATAAGCTACACACTGTGTTACTGTTGGTCCAATAGTTGCTGTCGATGCTGTCTTACGGCATGAAAATGGAGATCACCGCTATAGCATCAACTTCATGAGACAGTGGCGCCAGAAACGACCCCATTGATGAACATATAACGAACGCTGACACTTCAGTGGTTACTTACAAACTTTTCTTTTCTCTTTCTTTGTCAGCTGATATTTTCACATGAATCAACGAAGTTTGCTTCCTCCAGCTTTTGGGTTATTGGATCGAGTTGTCCTGTTTCATTACGAAGCTATTCCGCTTCTGTTAACTTTGTTGTTGCCAACCAATGCTAAGAGCATTTTTATTTCTACACAGCTAATTTCTTGCCTCGCTTG